AGGCAAAGTAGTTCATACTATATGCTCAATTTAATAATAAATATCAAATAAACATTTGAGATTTAATAAATCTTACTTCTAGAAAATTATTAAATTTGCAATTAATTACTTATCATTATTTATTAAAAATCTAATTTTGTATTAAAAATATGGTAAGATTACTTAATTTTACTATTATGATATATTTATAATTTTAATACAGTAAAATACTTTTAATATATATTAATTTTTATGAATTTTTACTGTAATTTTTAATGATAAGTCTAGAGATATTAGTATGAAATTGAATGCTAATAAAGCTTATAAATACAGATACATAAGTTATTCATTCTAGAGAATAATACAAATTTATATAAGGTAACCTTACAAGCATATCAAATAGATGTATAGTTCTTATTTGTTATTAGATTCTTGAACTATTAACATTATGTAACTAACATTCAGCCTTTTCAATTTTAGGTACTGATAGTTTACAAGCAAATTTTGCCAATATTGCTAATAGTGCAAATTTTTTAAAGTACTTAAAAAAATTATTTAACACATATTTAGTATAGGAATATTTTAATATATATAATAATTTATAAACATTATTTATAAGTATTTTTATTTTATTTGAATTTATTTAATTTATAAATTATATTACTAGACTATTCGATTTTGCTTCTAATGTTCACAATAAACTTTAATAATTTGCAAACAGTAAGGTAGAATATACAAAACTATATCTGTTATAATCCATATTAAATCAATAAAAATCATATTGATTATAGGTGTTAGAGTTTTATTGCAGAGATTAATAGCATTAGCTGCATGATTCTCAAAGAATTACACAAAGATAAACAAGTAACAATAAAAGTATTGATAATTGTATTAAAGAACTTTAGCTTAAATTTGCAAGATATGTCTAATATAAATCAAATTAAAAAAATCAATGAGCCTATTCCTATTCTTCTTTTAAAAATTTGATACAATACAATCATTTTGCAGTATGCTATAAATTGCAAGATTTTTGGAAATAACACAAGAATAACATTGATAATTATATTAAACAATTTCAGTATTAAAGATGAATTAATAGATTTTATTTAATAGACAAACATATATACATATATATACAAGGGATAAAAAGACAGAATACTAAGATATTAAATTAAAAAAAAACATATAGCATTTTGTTTAAATACTATATTTAAATAATTTATTATTTGAATATATGTGCAATACACTTTTAAGTAAATAAATTACAAATTTATTATATTGATATAGTATAATATATACTACTAACAAAGTCCTATGCTAACCAGCTCAGAAACAATTAAAAAACTTGTTCTAGCCTTAGATAATAATTTCTAAAAAATGTAAACTTATTAAAAACTACTTGATTTTAAAATTAAAAAGCTTTTTTTGTCATTATCATTATATTTCACTATAAAGAAATTATACATAAAAATCAACTATATTATTATTTATTTTAGTAACATAATGAATTAGTTAAAAAATTATAATATGTATTATCACTCTTTGGGTTAGGTATGTAACATATATGTGTATACTTGCAAGATAGATTAGTTGAGCAACATAAATCATGATATGCATTATAAGTTACAGCATATAGTATACAATATAAGTAAATCATAGTACAAGACACTTATCACAGCACATAGCACATAGCACATGACATCTATCATGGCATATAGCATCTGTTATAGCATATAACATCTATTATGTCATGCATTCCTATTACTATACTTATAGCATACTACCCTATTACTATATATGGCATAATGGCAACTTGACTTCAGGGTAGTACAACCTTTATGTTATAGCCATAATGTCATGAATAATGACTACTTTAAGAAATGTTTTTATTATTAGTATAAGAAAGAAATAATAGTTTGTGGATAAAAAAGCAGTAATAAATGATTGTAGAATAGAAATTTGTTATAGCAGATATTAAATTGGATGTTGTCATAGTAGTGTTTAGCTATGGTAATTTCATCATAACCTTCTAAAATAACTCCTACTAATTAAAAATAAAAGTGGTTTATATTATTTTCCTTTATAATTAAATTTGTATTGGTATGTTGTTGTTTATTAGAAAAAATTTAGAAAGGATGAGTAAGGATAAGTAATAAATATAGCCTGATAGTTATAGAAAAAAATATTCAGATAAAGGTTGAGATTTGTGTGATAAATATATATAGCATTTACTATAATCAATTTTGATTGATATTGTAAATATATAGTTGAAATTGTTTAATTGTATATAGTTGTAATAATGGATGTGTTTTAAAAAGAAGCTAAGTATTTGAAGATGTGAAAGTAGAGATAGGTTCAACCCTGCTAACTACAAGTTATAGCATAAGTTTGGATTATATAGTGTATTGTAAGATAAGTCTTGTAGTTCTTTCTTGATATAAGATAATGAAATAAGATTCAAGAAAGTGAAGAGTTCTTCTGTAGATTCACTTATCATATGCTTGACTTACACAGCTGTGCAGAATATCATAGCCTGTCCTGTATGTTGGGTTTGACTGTCATTAATCTGATCTTTTGCATAGTTTTTAAAAACTATTGTAATTAATTTAAATGATATTTTTATATAAAAAAAGTTTAAAAAAAAGACAAATTTGTCTTACCAATTTTAGTATACAAATTGTATTTTAAAATATACAATTTAATAGATAGTAACTGTCTTTTATTAATCAGTTAGAATTAAACATCTATAATTTTAAGTATATCAGATTTTATTTGATATTAAAAATTTAAAACATATATATAAAGTATAATATTATATATATAAAGCAATGTGAAAAACTGATATTGTATAAAACTTTAGTATAAATACATAATATGACTACCAGATATAAAAAACTAAAAAACTTAAGAATCAAAAATCTACTTAAAAATCCTAAATAAAGAAGTAATACAAACTTTCAACAATATTATTAAATTGATAGAAACTCATAAAACACTTCAAGAAAATAGACAAATAAATTAAATATCAAGATGTATAAAAAAATACATAATTAATCAAACTACCAAAATTGTTAGAAAAAAAAGAATATATAAGTAAGAAGTTCTGTTAATTTTAAGTAACAATTAGTAGAAGATAATAAAAAAGATATCAAAAAAATAAAATATTAAAGTTTGAATAAACTTTATAAGAATATAACAGTTTAATGATTAACTCTGACTGCAAGTATTGATTTAAGCCAAAATGATACTAGATCAGTTATAAATATAAGATACAGAAAACTCCAATAAGTTTAATACAAAATTAAATATAACTTAATGACTATGACATATTTGCACTAAGATGCAATTAATAGAATAAAGAGAAATATAAGAACTAGAATATTTAAATAAAGAACCTACAGATGGATTTTAAATATAACAACTAGTGTAAAACCTTTAAACAAACTACTTAAATTACAATGATTAAGTTGTACAAATGGTTAGTTGTACACTCTTTCTATGATTACTTCTGTAATTGTTGTACATAACAATTACAAGCCAAATACTATTAATAAACTTCTAAGTCACATGTTTTCACCTTAATATTTAAAAAAAAGTTTTTCTTTTTAAAAAAGCAATTAAAAAAGATTAAAAAATTTACAGATTAGAATTAAATTAATAATTAAAAAAAAATTAAAGTCCAAAATTTTAACAAATGTTTCAAAACTTAAACAGTATTTAGAATATAAAAAAAATTAGAATAATAAGATGAATAAATGAGTAACGAAAAGGGAAAACCTTTAAATCATGATTGAAATGATTTACAGGTTTTTCCTTTTCGTCACTCAAATAATAAAATATTATATATAATAAAATACAAAAAAAGTAATCAAAAAAAAGAATACAAAAGAAGCAAAACCCTTAAAAGTGCCAACATAAAAAATAAATTAATACAGTCAGACCTCTCTATAGTCACACTTATTATAAGCACATCAAATAAAAAACCTCTTTATAAGCACATTTATTTAGAAACCAATTATATATAAACATATTAAAAAAACCTTTTTAAAAGCACATCTTAGTAAAAATATTTTTATAAGCACATAAATCTTTATCCCGGGGGGTGTGATTATAGAGAGGTTTGACTGTATTAAATAAATAAACATCAGCTTGAACTAGTAAAAAAGAATACGTATACAGACTAACTTATGAAGGCAATCCAATATCTGAAGGTACATTTAAAGGTACCGAGTCAAGCTACAGTTACACCTATATAGAAAGATTATATGTACTCAACCATTTGGCGTTCAATATATAAAAAAAATTGATTAGATATATTTTTCACCAATCAGAATTCATTTTGCAAAAATTAGCCAATAAATTTGATTATATATAATCTTAAAATTTGACGCTTTTGCTGTATACATATAAATACGTAGTACGTACGTATAAAATTCTGTATAAAGATACTACGTATAACGATAAGCTTATTTATTATTTTAATTTATAACATATATATATATCGTTATGTTTAATTATATAATATATACGTATTATTCTTATAATACAATATTAAGTAAAATCACGTGAGTGAGAAACTGGTTCGAGTTTCGAACGAAGTTCTGAAAAGCAGAATAACATACTCTAAAATTTGCAGTTGGTAATAGAGAATTAGCAGGTCCAAAATGGAATTTACGACTCTTATTGATTGAATAAATATTCGAAATAGTATTGATATGAAAGCAATTTATTTCTAAAAAGCCTCGATTATAAGATTACGCATTTTATGTATTTCGGGAGGTTCATTAATTAAAATCATATAAATCATAAAAAAGTCTGAATTATAAGATAAAAAAAAAAAAAAGGTTCACTTATATCAAACTAATACATAAGTCACCTATCCTTTCACAAAACCTAAAACACAATAGAATCCCACCAATGTATTAATCAACTGCATTATTTACTTAGTTTTTTTTAGCCATGTTAGTTCCTATCAATCATATGGTAAAGTTCTTGTGTAAATGTGCAATTTTAAAAGTCTGTTATACAAAAAACATTGTATTTTCAATACAAGCTTTTACGCGTTGCCAATCTCCGTTTAAAACTTTTGGTCGTTCACTTGGTTCGAGACTAACATTTCCTCCACCACGGCCCCCACGGCCCCCGCGACCACCGCGACCACCACGACCACCGCGGCCTCTGCCCCTACCGCCTCTACCACCTCTACCACCACGACCACCAAATGTATCTTCTATAATTTCATCAAATGTGACAAAGTGTTTTGCTTGATTTGCAATATGGTGAGCATAATGCACTGGAGTGACGTGAGAAATTGATAGGTTGCATCTAAAAAAAAAATGTAGATTTATAAAATAATTTAATTAATTTATGTCCCAACAATATTTGAAAATGTAACATGAGAAAATATGAACATGAAATTACCTAACGGATAAAAAGCATAATTTATAAGTCAATTCATACATCTCATCAGAAGAGAAGTTTCCTTCATTTAGTATCACATGATAATAAGTTGACCTAGCAGTTCCACGCGGGCTAGCATGAGATTGTAAATCTATAGAATGTGAATTTAAGAGTTACTAAATTTGATTCTAGTAAAATCTTAATGTAAATTATATGCTTACAAAAACTAAAGTATTGAGGCACCACAATGCCGGAATCAATTACAGTTCCTGGGAGACAATTTCCATTTCCATTAGGATCAGCATCTTTAGGATCTACTGGCATAAAGCTATAAGAAATATCATGAGTAACGATAAGATAAAATCCGATACAACATAATTAATATATAAATAGTTTACCGAGCATGATGACGTTTTTGCACGATAATAAATGTGAGCTTTGGAGGTGGACTTGGTGAATAAATCTTTTGGAACGCACGCTTTAACAACTCAACCTCTTCATTCATGACCTTTTCGAACTGTCCTTCTGCAACACCATCACGATAGAATACAATTTGATCAGGAAGACCACCATTTCTTTTTTTGAATTCCTCAAGTAATTCTATGGCCATATCATCAATTGTCTCTATTATTTCATTTTTCAAGGTTTTATTCATACGATAACGAGAAACATATGTAGTTATTGTCTGATCCATTGATGCACAAACAGCGGCCACAGATGGACGACCTTTCTTATCCTCTCTACCAGGATGGAAAACATCAGCACCAAATACCATATACTAGAAATAAAAATATAAAATAAAAATAGATTATGCAACCACATATACGTATGCACATCATATAAATTTATGATTTTTTTTTCTTTACTCTTTTATCTGCCTTGAAATTGAGTTCATTATCTGCTAATGAGTGATTCTTTCCACCTAATTTTCCATTAATTTTAAGAGCTACATTTCCACAAATTTGCACCCATTTTGAAGGATTTTTTCCTGTCATACTTTCAGAAATAATACATTGTGATATGACACCCAAATCAACACCACAAATTTTTTTAATTTGTGGATGTATTCCAGAAGCACCATTTATTTTCTTTTGAATGATACATATAATTAATTGAGGTGGCTTAGATGGGGCAGAAGATATTGCATTTTGTGCAGCAATCGTTAGCGACTTTTGTGAATAAAAAACAATAAAAATAAAAATAAAAGTCAGTTAATAAATCAAATAGTAATTATAGTAATTCAAGTAATAATTATTTATAGTAATTTAATTAATAAATCCAATAATAATTTAGCAATTAAAACTATATATTTACTTTTTTATAATCGCCTTGGGAGTTACCATAGTTGATTGTGGGTGTTTTGTTTTGTACATTCTATAAGTAAAAAAATAAATAATATTAATTTCAAATGAAAATATATGGGAATATAAATATGATGATCAATCCATAAATACTTTCCAGGCCTTTTATAGATAAGGCCTCCACTAATCGTTTCATTGCATTTTGGACACGAGACTCGGGCAAAATTCTTGGATTTTCGAATACAACAACAGACCAATTATATAACTCTGCACCCTAATATAACCCAATTTTTTTTATAATTTTACAGTTGTCGTTACTAACTAAAAAAAAAACAAGAAAACAAAAAAAGGGTTAAATGTACCTTGATAAATCTTTTAGATTCCCAAGAACCTAATTGAGGAGTAATTTCCGAGTTTTCGTGTGAAATTAACTTTGGTGCAGGAATTACACGAGCTAGTAAATATGAAAATAAATTAACATAAATAAGATTTAATTAATATACGATCACCATAACAACTTACATTGTAATTTAACGAATTGTGATCCAACCTCCATTCCAATAGACTGTAAGGCTTTATCAATCGAATGTTGGTAAATATGACTATTTGCATGAGAAATTTTGTCAAATCTTTTTCGCGGTGGAGCAGCAGTTTGCTCGACCATGTCATGTAATTGTGCATGAGTGAGAGATTCGGTGCTATATTTTTGACCTAATAAAATGAATTAAATAAAAATGATTATTATATATATTATATAGAATTGATTATTATATATATAATATAGAATTGATTATTATATATATTATATAGAATTGTTATAATATATATTATATAGAATTGATTATTATATATATTATATATAATTGATTATTATATGTAGAATTGAAAGAAAGCAAAAAAACTAACCAGAAATTACAACGCAAATTTCCAAGGGTAAATATATATCACCGACTTTAGGTTTTTTTGTACGAACACATGGAAGCATTGGGAACTGTAAATTAATATTATCATTCTTATATTGTTGAGTAACAGTAATTCTATTTCTGCCTAGGGTAATTTCATCAGCAGATTTGTATGTAATAGATATGACTTTATGTTTTTGCTTCAAGCCATTACTACCTCGATTGGTAGTTGTTATATTAACATCTCTGAAAAATTTTGATAGAATTTCAATATCATCAGGGGAAAGACCACGTCGCAGATCATCTTTTGTTCTTTCTCTAAAATTTCCTTGATTCTGAACCTTGGGCAGAACCTTAGGAATAATATCGATCATCAGACCATTTGGATAATAGGTAGCAGCACATGTATCAACATTTATAAGTAATTGGTCTATTTAATGAACAGAATAATAAAGAATTATTTAGAAATGTTAAAAAGTATATAAAAATATAGAAATAAATATAGAAATCAATATATAATAAGTAAAATTTTCAACATACTCCATCCAGGACGAATACTTTGCCAGTACCCCATCATAAGTTCAACACCTCCATGTAAGAAACGTCGATTCTTTTCCTCTGGTTTTGGAAATATTGCTTTCCTACCTAGAGTTAAATGTTGAGTGCGAACCTTGGAATTGAGGAACGCGTTAAGAACAATTAAGATGTTTTGAATTGTTCCATCCCAAGGTTGATCACTATTTTCTTTAATATATTCCCTCATTTCTCTAAGATCGAAAGGACGAGAATATTTAAGAATGGCGGTAAAACGTTTTGGTCGACCAACGTCATCTTGAGATGGAACTTGGACCTAGAGAATAATTCCGATAAAAAGGAGAGTTTTATAAAATATAATATAAATCAAGAATTAAAAAAATCCAACAAAAATAATATTATACATCAAATCGGCGAGTCTTAGAACCATTACAAAGATCAGTAGCAGAATATACTAGATTTCCATCATAAGCAGGTGAAGCTCTTTCACCAAATTTTTTTTCTTTGCACATTTGAAGAAAGACAGCTTCTGATTCTTTTTTATTTGCTTGTTGTCTCATCTGATTAGTAACTTCTAAAGAATATGCTTGAACTTGTGGGTATTGGAACTATTACGTGAATCAGTAAGTATTTAGTCTTTCATAAAGAAAAGGAAAACAGTTTTTACATGTATGCCTTACCTTTGTGATAGGTAGAAAGTTTGCCATTACTTGGACAGGCCTGCCTTTAGTAGGCTTCTCTTGAGGCCTTTTTGCGACTGGGATCGTCGACATTGGTAAAGTCTAATTCTTAAAATCAAATAGAATTCAATCAACTTTGACATTAATATGACCTTTTGTCTTTTAATAAACTTTATCACATACCTTTTAATGGCGCGATAAGAATTGACTATCGTAATAAATTATTTTATTTTATTGCGAAAGACTTGTAATAAAATTTAGAAAATGAGAATTTTAAAAACGGCTTAAAAGCTTTAAGTTAAAAAAGAATCGCTAATATATAAATTTTAGATGTCATTAACTCCTGTTTAGGAATATGGCACATAAAGTTTTATTTACGCACGTACGACGCACAACTGTGCGTATGTATGTAATACAATTAATTGCTTTCATTAATCACGAGTGATATGATGTAAAATTATCATCCCTATTATTAACTAATTTTTCCACCGTTTTTTGAACGTTAATAATTTTTTTCTCGTGAAGACAGCAATCTCAAAAGAAAAATTGAATTTTTTTTTTTATGACAGTTTTAATTTATTGTATTGCCGGTTTTATGTGATGTGATACTTAAAACGGTGTCGATTGACGGGTTTTGACACAAAAAAAGGCATGTTAATAACTCAAAATAAATTTTTACTATGACATGTTAGTATTTTAATTTTCATTTGATTTTTTTTAGGCATTACAAAAAAATGTATACGTCGACTATTTTGTCGTCAGAGAAAATGGCTGAAAAAAAAGACCTTGACTAAAAATAGCGAATGATTAAGGCAACATCTTTGTGTGATCCGATCCAATCATAATCATATTAGCGATAATAATCAGCTTATGCCATCTTGGGCGTTTCATTTATCACATGCATAAATCAAACAATTGGGATATAGTTAATTATGATCAATTATAATGTGAAACTGATGCAAAAAGCAATCTAGCCGCATCAAATTCGAGCCACTTTATGCTGTTGAATTATCGTACGTATGTTGGCCCACAAATTTTATTGTGGCGGTGAAATATATCATTAATTATCTCTTGAAACGTATTCAAAGAATTACTACCAATAGTTTCATCAATTTTCAATTAGATCTCGGATGTATTTCGAATATTTCGAATTTTAATTTAACCCAGTTTTGATGATCCCATTGTTTAATCATTTTTTCATTACTTAGCCTTGATCGAATTTTGTGATTGAAATTGTTTTCCCAGAAAAGGGAGAGATTCTACACACAGCCATAAACGTATTCGTAGATTTATGCTATACTCAGTTAATATGTACATATCAGGTTATTCTTTATTTAGTGGAAAAGAATAATTCGGCCAAGGCTATGCGATTGTTTAATTATTGTGGCTAAGACTACGTAGTGGTTTTAACCAGATCATTGTTACGTGCTGATCCTGACCTGAGGGTAAATAGAAGGTAAGAGACGATGGATAAACGAAAAAAATGGATTACTTTTTAAATTTTGACTTTAAATAATTGGATATATATTTAAGGAAGTTTTTTTGCGTTGGCGTTTATAATATCATTATTTGAATATTATTATTAGTTATTAGATTTGAGTGTTATTTTCGTATCGCCTTTAAATATTCTATTAGACTAATTATATAATTTGGAATGGATTAGAATATACTGTAAAAATTCAAGATTGCAATCTGCAAAGACGCGAGTCCGGAATGACTTCAATATGGTGCAGAAATTAATGTGGCTGGAAAATGCGGGTTATAGCGGTGGCGTTGTAAACAGTCCAAAAAGGCTTGCCTTGAAAAATCCACAGCAAGGTTAAAGTCATGTTAGTGTTTCGTTATAGTAATATTAAATTTCTCTATTATGCAGAAGGTAAGTTTCATATGTTCTAGAGCGTCCGGAATTTTGCAATTACGGAATTCTCAGAAACGGAGGCGCAGCTTATTGTTGGCCAAAATAATACGTATCGATAATTGTCTTATCATTAAGTGCACATCATCGAATCAGCTGCATAATAAATATGTGCAGAAAAAAAACGGATAAACACTGCAGATTCTGAACGTCAATTATTTTGACAAATGTCTGAATATTATTAATACGGATAATCACCTAAATCAGGATGTATCCTAACTAAAGATGTAGCCATCACCAGAAACATAATATATATTACTATTCAATTTTTAGTTTAAAATTGTCCCCGAGTACAACTTGTCCAAAAATTCAATTGGGCTTTAGGTTGCATAAATAAAATCATATGATTGTATAACGGATCAAATTTTATACTGTTATAAATTTTCATTTTCGTGAATCAGCCATTTTGTTTCAAAGCAGTGTGGTATCCTGAAATAAGCATTCCTTTTAATAACACCCAAGAAAATATAATGTCATACTAGAAATTAATAATGACAATCTACATTAGTTATAAAAAATAAATGTTGAGAGTTAATTGCAAAATTGTAAATAGTGAGGTAAATGTTGTTAACATGATAAGTTTTTTTTGTTAACATTCATTAAGGCAAAAGTGAAAAAATTCATTTAGTATGTGTTAGAGTTGCTGGTGAAACTGGTGACTATCTAAAATCTGATTGGTTATTTTAGTAAAATAGCCAATCAGGTTTTAGATAGTCACCAGTTTAATTTAGTTTCACCAGCAACTCTAGTATGTGCTGTCAATGAAACATGTTTCATAAAAATAACAAAATTTAATATAAAACCTTGATTTAATTCATTTAACCTTTAATCTGAAACCTTGATTTAATTCATTTAACCCTTAATCAACTTATAAGTTTATATTTTTTTTCAAGGTATAGACATGTTTATCTAAAACACTATAACGCTACAAAACGTGATGCGTGCAATCTTCTAAAGACATCAAATTTTTATCCTTAATTTTTTTTTTTTAAAAAAAAAAAAAATCATATTTATTATACAGTATATCATAATTTTCGACAAGAACCAACAAACTATGTTCTGATTTTAAAAATGTTCTATGTGGCAGCTTATGCGTTGATGCTGAAATTTAGGGTTCCTATCTAAATCTATATCTATAATACCTACTAAAATTCTTATATACACTTTAATAATAATGCTAACCCCAATTACTAACCCAATCCTAAAAAAAAAGCCCACACAAAAGGTCCCAAAACTTTTTAAATTTTCATAATAGATTAAATTTCATCATCACCAATTTCTATTTTTAATTAGAAATTCTGGCACTAATATTTGATCAGTCGTATTCACAAAATTTTCAGCTCCTTGATGTCATTAGTGTTTAGACTGAGTGTACAATATTTAAGTCAGTTTCTACCGTTGTGAGCATTTGAAAATTTTTGATTTAACTTTGATATTATTATAATGATCAATTCTCGTTCAAAGTTTCTTGTTTTTCTGTACCATGTGAATATAGTGTCGGTGACCTATTGTCTAATTATAGTTTATGACCTTATGTAATATTTCATCATGACTATCTTAGTGTCATATAAAGTTGGTTATGATCCAAAATACACAACACTGTGTGAATATGGAAAAATGGTGCGTACCCAAAAAAATAATAATAAATTTTGACCAGAATTATATAACAAAACGCAGGCCAATCTATCAATCTATCCCTAGATGTGCGAAATTCTTAAACATCGATTTTTGAATTTAAGGAAATTTTCCCGAATACTCTTAACGGTAGAAACTGTTCTACAACACTAGTTCATATCGATATCCAAATATTGTTAAGTTTCTTGCAAAGTAATGTTCCGTAAGATGATCTGTAAGGGCATTATTAAAAAGCCAATTATCTAAAAATACCCAACAAAAAAAAAAAAAAAAAACTTATAAAAGACGCCGATATATTACAATTTATGTTAAAAAAACAAATTCATGCGCATACACACTTTACATTATCATAAGCTATCAAATATAATATTACATGTGTATATATTCTTTTTTAAAAGAAAAAAAAAAAGTTTTAAAGGCTATTCAACTAAAATATTCTAAGATGTGCTCTATTTATGATAAAATTTTTAACATGCATTATCATATATTTTAATACAGTCTCTTTAAGTTGTTAATTGATTTAGTGGCAAATTTTCTAATTTTCATTAAAAATTACATCAAAATTATTAATATTCGAACGTGATTCATGTTTATCCAACAATTAACAAAAATAATTGTGGTCCCCCTTAAAGCGAAGCAATTATTAATATAAACCTGCGTATATCAAATGTGTTCTTTTAATTATCATTAAACAATTTCCTTCTCTAATTCGTTTTTCCTAAATGTAACTCAAGTATATAAATGCAATTATGTTAAATTTGGCATAAAATAATTTCTATTATTTTAAAGAAAATGTGATAATGTATGAAATGTCTATAAATATTCCCCCAGTTTTGTTATTATCCGAGATGAATGGTAAAGTAATGTACGTTTCTTCTTCACGCGTAGTCACATAAACACTCAAAGCGATATTTTTACCTTGTAATTCTTGACTAATAAAAGCAAAGTCATGGTTCAAAATAAATTTCTCTTCTTTCTTTATTTTGTCATTATCTTCATTTCCGCTGCCACTGCAGTTGCCCAAGGTTCGTCTCCTGCCATTAAGATTCCTCTTACTGAAGACTTAATTGATCAATTAGAAGATATAGTAGTAACGAATAAAGAGAATAAAGGTATGAGTCCATCTACGCCTTTGGACCAACCTGAAAGTGAACCTTCTGTTGACAATCCTAAGAACTCGGATAGTTCATATAAAAGCCCGGATAGTTCATCTAAAAGTTCTGATAGTTCTAAAAGCATGAACAAACAAGGTGTAGCGCCTTCTCCAATTGGTGTAGTTCCTACGTCTGGACCAATGACTGGTCCAATTAAAAGTCCTACGACCCAAATTAATGGTACTCCTAAACAGAGTATTAATAGTGTTAATTCAATACCTACTCCGAAATCAACTGTTCAAAGTCCACCTCCCAAATCAATCCCTCCACCTTCTGTTGTTAAAGCTCCTTTACCACCAACTTCTACTTCTAAAGTATCTCATGCTGAACATATTTCTACTAACTGTTTTTTGGGGGTGATTTTTACTACATTTCTTGTTTTTTTTATCGGAAACATTATTTTTGTTTAGATAATGTTGCGTTTGAATCTTTCTAATAATAATTAAATTACATAATTACTGTATGGTATAAATATATTACGTCATATTTAGAAAAAAATTTAATATCTCTCCCTTCAATATTAAAATTGTAATTTTTTTAAAAAACTATTCATTGTGATTTCAAAATTTCTCTTGTTTCTTATAATGATTTTAGCATACTGCCTATTTGAAATATGTTTAATCATGATTTATAAATAAAATTTATTAGTTTTTGTTAAATATTAAATAAAGTTATTCATTATACAAAATTTTTAGTTAATTAAAAAAATTTATATAAAACATATATGTTGTAAATATAAAAAGTAATTACAAGAAACTATATTAAATTTATACAAAAATTGATTTTCAAAATAAAATCAAGGCCTCTAGGGTTGATAGCATAGCAGTTATGCTCCAAGGTCACAAATTGTAATTTGCCAGTTCAAATCCTAATGATAGTAATTGTAGAGATGTATTTTTAAAAATAGAAAACTGTAACACTGTGGGATCAGGAATCTAGGACATTCAAGAACAGACTTATTTTTAGAAATAGCAAGTAATCTGTAGTTAAAAAGTTATATGGTAAAGAACATGAGTTAAAATCTGATTTAGAATAACTGAAGTTATAAAATGTAATGTAAAATCAAAAGTTTAACACTTATAAATACTATATAAACTTATAGTATATAGTTAGTTCTTGATAAAATTAATGAAACCTTCAGAAGTTAATAAACAGATCATTTTTGAAAAGTTTAAAAGTATGGATCAAGAAAGGTTAAAGTCTATTGAACTTAAATATTAAGAATATTATTTAGAAAATATATACAAACATATAAGGTTTTAACAAGATCATCAAAGAAAAAAAAAATAAAATAAAATAAAATTAATAGTTATAATATAATATTAAACAAAAGTTTTTTTACACTTACATCTTTTAATAAAAGGTTTTACAGCCTTAAGCAAATATAGGACATCTTTTCTTATAAAGGCTCAAAATATTGTCTATAATAAAATTATAGTAAAAACATATGAATTTATTATAAACTTTAAGCTAAAATTTTTTTTTAACTTAACTAAGTAAGTTTTTTTTTTTTTTTTGGTATTAAGATGACTTCTTTGGTCTTTTGACTTTTATTAATCACTTATCAGTATTGTGATTTAATGAACTACTACAAGAGAGAGTACAATTG